GACTAGAGGAGGGGAAACTAAGGAACATTATTTGTTAGACACCAGTAGCCCTCACATTTTGTTGTTAATGCTGTGGTAACAAACAGCCTAGAGAGCTCAGTATCTTTGAACAGTTACGTTTAATTGATGAGTCATGGCTCTGGCTCACTTGTCTTCGTCATTCTGGGATCCTGGCCAGAGGAGCAATACGTCATTGGTGCCAATCAAGGATCCCCAGTTTGAGGTGTGGTGAAGAGGAAACTTTATTCGGTGCAAAACAGCTTAATCATGATACAGCACAGGCTGTGAAAACAGCACAGCTATGGGGCAGCCCTGGTACCGGGCCCCTCTCGGGCTGGACTGCTCTGCTCTGCTCTGCTCCTCTCTTTGCTGGTCTGCTTGGCGCTGCTCTAGTCTGCTCTGGTGAGACTTCTTCTCTGTTTCAGCTTGGCCAGGGGAACACAGTCTTCAGTCTGGTGGAAAAGGAAAGTGCGCTCTCAGAGCCAGAGGAGAGCTAAGAGCTGGCTATGTGAACAGAAGTACCTGCCTCTGGCCCCTGATTGGTTTGTCCTCATGCAAATGAGGGCTCCAAATCAGAACAGTTTGATTTGCCTAAAAGGCACTGTCTTACTTGGTCAGCTACTCTGGTTGGTTGGAGCTATGTGTCTCCAATCAGATGGGGAAAACCTTACTCTTACTGGTTAAAATAGGATTCCAGGAGTTTGGAAGGGCAGGCTCAGATGGTAGAAACACTGTGCCGGCAGGCAGTTCAATGCAGAGGTCGGTAGTTCAGTGCAGGCCTCTTCCCCCTAAAGTAAGGTTTGTGCGGGAGGCACCTGCGTAGAAAGGGCTGCTAGGCTTTTTTTTTTTTTTTTAGTTTGAGCCCACTTATCTACCAGGAGCCCTTCTTACTAGATGTCTTCTTTCTCAGTGTTCACACTATCTGGAGAGAAGAGCAATGGACAAACCGTTTGCCAGCTTTTAAGACTCCTGCTCAAAAGTGGCATATATCACTTCCACTCACATTTCTTTGGCTAGCTTTATGTGATTTGGGGAAGTGTAATCCTTTTGCAGGAGGTTCTGTAAATCACCTGGTATCTTGAGTGGGTGGATAGTCCTTCCACCGGGAGGGCAGTGAATCGTTGGGGACAACAACATCTTAGACCTTCTGTAAAGGTTTGCTGGTGGGAGCAGACTGAAACTAATGTTTATTAATGTTCATGAACTCTGTATAACTCATAAATAACTAAGAGTTGGTCCATTGAGCTTTTGGAATATATCCCAATTCTCTCAACTTGCTTATTTAATAAATGTACACTGTAAGACTATAATGTGTCTGGGTTTCTTTTTCATAGACTTATGATGTCTTTAACTTACATTCTTCATCCCTAAACTTTCTTCTCCAAGGTTCCATATCTCACTGAGTGACATACCTCAGGTTCCCTAAGTCCGAAACTTGGGTGAAGTTCTTAACATTCTCCTTCACCATGAATACTTACAACTAACTGGTCAGTTACCAGATTCTGTTGAATCTGTTTCCTTTGTGGCTCTCAATTCTGTCCTCTTCTCTTTATCTTTGTTGTTACCCTTCTGGTCCAGTCATCTCTCATCATTGCAACAGCTTCCTAACTGGCCTTTCTACCTCTTGACTTGCTTCTCTGTAATCCATTTTCTGCACAATCACCAAAGTGATTTTCTAAAATGGCAAACCAAGCCCTGGCTGGCATAGCTCAGTGGGTTGAGCACGGGCTGCGAACCAAAGGATCACTGGTTTGATTCCCAGTCAGGGCACATGCCTGGGTTGTGGGCCAGGTCCCCAGTGGGAGCCACGTGAGAGGCAACCACACATTGATGTTTCTCTCCCTCTCTTTTTCCCTCCCTTCCCTTCTCTCTAAAAATAAAGTCTTTAAAATGCAAACCTATTGTGTTAGTCCCCTGCATTCAAACCTTAAAGCTCAAATTTCTTAACATGGCCTTTCACCTTTTTTTTCTGTTAATTCCCAAGTCTGTCCTGTTATGCTTAGTTTACTTTCATGGCTGTAAAAATGTAATCATTTTCTAGAAAGTTTTCTTCTAGAGCAAATCTTTTGAACTCACATGGTATTTGGTAGATGTTTTTCACTTGTAGACACTCAAACACGTGATGAAACATATTGTACAAAGCTGACTGTGTGCAGTATTGACCGTGGTCCAACAATAGGGTGCCTCCTCTGGATGTTAAGTGGATTGTTACTTCTTAGAAGGGCTCGGCTAAGCCACATGAGCTCCAAAGGAAGGTAGACAGACATTGGCTTTGTTTTACTTTCTCTGTGACCTGTTTTTAGCAGGTTAACATGTACCCCTTTTGGAACTAGTTTATTGGGCCTTTTTAAGTGAGCTAACATATTTTTTCATTATGGTACCAATGCAGTAGCTTCTGAACAATAAGAATATGAAACAAATACATTAAAAAAATTGTCTCCTTTCATGTTAGCTCTGTGTTTCAGAAATAAAGATAGCTTCACTGAACTCAGGAGATAGGTAGTTTCTGTTAAAACCCAAATTCTTGCCTTCGAAAATACTCTAGGAATTTAGATTTTTTAAGGCCCAAATCTTTTCATTATTTAAAATTTATTGACACAAATTTTCTTTGACCAATCAACTGCTGTGTTTTCTTTTTATCTAGCCTAGTTACATGGAATTTTTAATAAAATGAATCAAATGTCTCAACGTTGAAGCTTTGCAGTTGTAATCACAATTTTCTGTTATTATAAACTAATTTTAAAAAGCAAGCTCAATTTTAAAAGGCAAGTTAAACAAGTATACATCTGTACAGACATTTAAAAAGGAGTCAGAGGCACATTGACACATCTTTAAGTATGAGGAGCGTATAGGGGCATATAGGGTGAGTGATAAGACAGTTACATGGGGATTTGAACTGTGTGTGTTAGATATCTCTGTAACATTTTTTAGAAAGATTTTATTTTTAGAGAGAGAGGAAGGGAGGGGGAGAGAGAGGGAGAGAAAAACACCAATGTGTGGTTGCCTCTTGCACACCCCTTGCTGGGGACCTGGCCTGCAACCCAGGCATGTGCCCTGACTGGGAATTGAACTGGTGACCTGACCCTTTGCTTCTCAGGCTGGTGCTGAATCCACTTAGCCACACCAGCCAGATTTCTTGACCTTTATGTCCTCTTGCTGTGTCTTCCTGATTCATGTATTTGTGGTCTTTCTCCTCTTATTTGTTGGTCTTTAGTTCTTTTAGTCTTTTCCTCTCTCCTTGCCCCTCCTTTCTCTCTCATTCTTTTCTGTTAGCTCATTCTAGAGCTTATTACTTAGTTTGAATCCTTGCCTTGAGAAACCTTTCAACTGCTTTGTGTACTCTTTTCTCTCCTTTGTTCCTTATGGTTGGAGAGAATGGGCTGAAGCATTCTGTTCTTTCCTCATCATTTTATTTAACTAATATTTGAAACCTACCAGAGTAAGACACTGTGCCAGGTTCTGGGCTACCTCAGTAAATAAAATGGTTGTCAGTTGCGGAGACAAAGAGGTTCAGTGTTATTTATGCATGCATGCATGCATGCATTCATTCAGCAAATATTTGGGACTGGGGTACAGTGGTTGGCAAAAACAAAAATTCTTTCTCTCGTGGGCCACACATTTCGGTAAGACATTATTAAGTAAAAGACTGTACAAACCAATGTTAAATTACAGCTATGTTGAGTCCTATGAAGGAGGACTACATAGTGCTGTGGGAATACCTATTAGTGGGCTTTCTTCTCATCAGTAGAGCTGGGGACAGCCTCCTTGAGGAAGCAAAAGGTGAACTGCGATCTTAAGGCACCAGAATTAAGTAGGTGAAGGCAGCAGGAAGGAGGGATGAGCCACGTGCTGAGAGGGGGCTCGGAGTGTTTGAGGAAGTGAAGGCTTAATGGAATGGGATGGAGTGAGGCTGATGAGGCTGTAGGGGCAGGCTGGGGCCCAATCTGACAGGGTTTGGTGGGTCCTGTTAAGGACTTTGGTCCTTATTCTACGAGCAATGGAACAGATACAATTGAAGTGCTGTAAGCAAGGGCAAGGGAAGACAAGCAGAAAACATACCTTTATTTTCAAAACAGTCTGAGTGCTATGGGGAGTAAATGGTGTTTAGCATAGGTGTAAGTGAGGGGAAGGATGTGGGAGGGCCGGTTCAGAGGCGGTTGGAGTAGTCTAGATGAGAGGTGAAGGCAGGGGGTAGCAAGGATTTCAAGTTTCCAAACCTACCCTCACTTTGGATTAAATGTATTTATTTAACCTCCAACATTGTTTCTAAACGCTGACTTACACAGATGTGATAAAACGTAAGTTCATTCAAATGAGAAATGGATAATTTAAATAAAAAGGGGTTACGAGTAGAACTATACATAACCTAGGATAAGAATGACAGCTGAGCTTGAGTTTAAAACTTAGCTCTGAGCTGAAGGAATAGTATAGGTGATCTGATTGTTTAACAAAAAGAAGTGTGCTATTTAGGTAGGGAATATAATCTCTTCCTTATAAACATTTACACTTTACTATAGAATCGGTATTAAACAACCAGGAGTAGTCCAGATTATTAAAACCCAAGACTTCAATTCTTGTGATCATGGCATTAATCCATTTTTGGCAATAGGTTACATTGATATTTCAAAGAGTAAACATTTCTGGAAATTGCAGAGTTGAACTACACAAATGCATTTCTTACTAGGCCTCTTGCTACCGAGGGAAAGCGTATGATAGTAGGGGACATAAGAAATATAGACCAGGTAAGAAGCCTATAATGCATCCTGTGGATGGAAGTAAACCCTTAATTTTTTTTCCTTAATGTCCTTCCCTTTTGCCTTCACACATACTTTTTTTCTTGCCTGCTTCTCCAGGAACTGTTTAATTTGTTTTCATAAATACTCACTCATAGAAGGCATCTTTCTTGCCTTGCAAGATGCATAGTTAGGGATAAGGAATGCCATGCTTGGAAGGGGCAACCTTATTTCTCAGCTGTTTACCTTCCAACCACTAAAACATACTTATAAAATCAAGAACCCAGAATCATTTCTAATCGTTTTAATGACGTTACCCAGAGTTTCCAGGGACTTCCCTGTGAGTTCTCTGGCCCTGAGGTTTGTTCCCCATGCATTCCCTCCTGAGCTCTGTACCTGGCTGATGTCTTCAGCCTTGCCTGCCTAGTTTCCTGGTAAGACGCTAGACCCAAGGCCCAGGAGGGTCCTAGAAGAGCCAGAGAGAACAGTAAAATAGGGAACAGGAAGTCAGATAAGTCCAGATTGTTGGCCTCTGGACATCAGCTCTTGAAATAATGGCTTCAATCCATGTTTGATAGTAGGTCACATTGGTGTAGACTGCAGGAAGAGTGTTACCACATCGGTATCCCCAGCTCACCAGTCCGATCACGGTCCATACACCATCAATATTACATGACAGAGGCCCTCCAGAATCACCCTGAGGAAGAGATAAAGGTCATGAGCCTAGTGAAAAAGATGGAGAATAGGAGAGCGGTTACAAGAGGTGGAGAGAATTCCTTAGAATGGGACGGCGGAGCCTGTGGAGCTACAGAACTCCAGAGGGAGCTGGTCTTCCCACTGTAGTAGTGGGAGATCACAGGAATTACAGAATCATAGAATTTGAAATTGGCAGAGATCTTAGCTAAATCTGTATATCAGTAGTTTCAAAATACTCATTTGTGGTAGGAGAAATTAATGTGATATGTTTTTTTTTTCACTAAAGTTATTCAATTGAATGAGCCTTCCTTCATTTTACGTTCTTTGCTTCTTACAGCTTTTTTTTTAGTGTCAAAATAATCCGTTATATAAATGATAAGTAGTTGGTGGTATGTCTTTTATTCTTGCTTTTCCTTTCTGTAACAGCCTTATTGATACAATTCACATACATTACAATTCATCCATTCAAAGGGTACCAGTTTTTTAGTATATTCACAGTGTTGTTGAATCATCACCACATTGTATTTTGGAACATTGTCATCACCTCCAATAGAAACCCCATGCCCATTAGCGGTCATCCTCATTTCCTCCCACCCCTCCAGTCCTAGGCCATCCAATGATCCACCTTTTCTGCCTTCTGAATTGGTATAATCTGGATATTTAGTATAGATGGAATAATATAATATGTGACCTTTTGTGTCAGGCTTCTTTCATTAAGCATACTCTTTTCAGGTTCATCTGTGTTGCAGTATGCATTACTACCCCATTTCTTTTAATGGCTGAATAACCTCCCATTATGTGGGCATACTACGTTTTGTTGATCTAGTCATCAGTTGATGGACATTTTGGGTTGTTTCACTTTTTGGCTATTATGAATAAAGCTGTTATGAACTTTTTGTGCCCAAGTTTTTATATAGGCGTATATGTTATTATTTCTCTAGTGTGTATAATTAGGAGTGGAATTCTTGGGTCCTATGGTAACTCTATATTTAACCTTTTGAGGAACTAATAGACAATTTTCCAAAGCAACTGCACCATTTTACATTACCATTAGGTGTATGAAAGTTCCAATTTTCCCACATGCTTGTCAACTCTTATCATTATCTATGTTGATTGTAGCCATCCTAGAGAATGTGAAGCCACATCTCATTGATTTGCAAACAGTAAATAAATAGATAGGAAATCTTGGTAGAGATATAGAAAAGTGTGTGTTGGGGCAGGGAGAGAAGAAATAAAACTGAGTGATCATACTAGAAATAAAAAATAAAATACCTGAGAAATTCCACTAGATGAACGTAACAGAAAAATAGATGACAGGAGAAAAAGATAATGATCTTGAATATGGATTAATTTAGAGTATCTTGAAGAAGAGAAAAAGAGAAAAGTAAAATGAACAGATTCAAACCTGTGCGGAAATATAAAAAAGTAAAACTTACATGTTTGTGGTTTTAATGAGAAGAGGAAAATAGAGAAATGAGGCAGAATAATATTTGAAGAAATAATGAATAAAATTTTTCAAGTTTTGATGAAAGATAAAAGAATAGATTAAAAAAGCTAGAAACTCAACAAATCCTAAATAGGATAAATACAAAGAAAATCAAGCCCTGGCTGGTGTAGCTCAGTGGATTGAGCACAGGCCGTGAACCAAAGAGTCACAGGTTCAATTCCCAGTCAGGGCACATGCCTGGGTTGCAGGCCACGGCCCCCAGCAACCACACATTGATGTTTCTCTCTCTCTTTCTTCCATCCTTCCCTCTCTAAAAATAAATAAATAAAATCTTTAAAAAAATTTAAAAAAAAACCTAGTGAAGTTTAGTTTAAAAAAAATACAAAGAAAATCATCCCTAGCACATCACAGTCAAATTTCTGACAGTCAAAAAGGAAGGAAAATTGAAAGCAGCCAGACCAAAACAACTTGTCCTACTCAACGGAGGAAGACACAAGTGATGGCTGTTTTTTCATCAGCCAGTTATGACCCGGAGACAGTGGGATGATATCTTTTAAATGTAGAATGAAATAAAATGTTATTACTTGAAAAAAACACAAAAGTTGGCAATTCTATATCAACCTCCTAATACATGTAGCAAAATTTAGGAGTTTGTAAAAACCCAGTGACCAGTGGTTGGTTTAGCATTGCTCTAGATCAGCAGTTGAAGAGATTAAGTTCATAGCTAAAAGTTAAGTGACTTGTCTAGGGTAACACAAGAATTATTGTCAGAACCCTTGTATCCTGACTCCTAATCCACTGTTGTTTACAGATAGGGATACCTGGATTCACATCCACAACTTATGTTAAAAAATTTCAACAGCAAACCTAACCTTGCAGGCATCCTTCCCTTTAGAAGTATCACCAGCACAAATCATGTCTTTCTTGATCATCGGCTTGAAGTTTGGCAATAATGGGCTGACTGGGTTGTACATAGATTCACAAGTTTGGCTGTCGATGATGGGTACTTCTGCTTCCTGGAGGGTGGAAGTGTAATCAATACCTGTAGAGACAGACAAGCGAAAGGAAAAGCAATCTGGAAAGGTGCACAAGGCAGCATTCAGTCACAATGTGCAAAACTTCCAAATAGGAATCTAAAAGCAGAATATGATCACTTTCTAATTGTATGTGCTAGTGGAAGAATGCTTTTGGTACACTGAAATCTAAAACAATGCACAATTCAAAATTATTTCTATTTGTTTGAGGTTTTTAAAATGCACCAATGCGAAGTATTCCTAGTATTGCAAATAAAGAGAAATGCAGATATGTTTTGATTAAGAAAAGATGTGAGTATTCTAAAACCTTTTCCTTTACTACTTTTCTGCTCCCAGATCATTTTCTGTTTTGTCTTTACTCCATCTTGGGAAACAGGTGACACAGACACTTTTAAAACATTAAGGAAACACTACCCTCTCTCCAAGTATTAAATCAGGTTTGTTAACTTCTGTTTCAGAGAGGTAATTATATGTTTAAATTGTTAGTATCTGCTCTTGCAGTTACAGCTAGACTCTATAGTCAGGATATAGGAGTAAATAAACATAAAAATGTGAAAAAAATACATTTTATTTGAAGATGTACAGATAATATCAATAGGTTGATCTGGTTTTGTCAAAAGATATTTGCCTTAGTAGTGATGTATCTAGAATGTGAACTATCCGAAATGGGTGGGTACGAGAGGGTGACATAAAACATCCCCTTTCTCTACCCCGTCTTACCTTCATTTTCACTAACTTTTCCCCATCCAGTCACCCAGCAAGAGCCAGGAATATTCAACTGCTTTGTGCTGTTGGGCAGGCAGATGGGCAGGATGGAAGAAGTGAAGGTAACTGTAGTGACCAGCTTCAATAAGACGATGTCCGCTTCTGTATCTTGGGTTTGGGGATGGAAAATGATTTCGGACACATGATGATTTGTAGCGCCATTTGGATAGTCTACTGTAACTGATCCCATTGACACAGTATATAACCAAGGAATCCAGGTGCTAAGGGGAAGAGAAAGTGGAGCATATCTGTTACAGTTGGGTCAGAACAAGCTGCTTGGGTATAGCAAGCAGTAAGACTGTAAGAAAGGTAGGTAATGCACTGGGAATTAACCAGGCTGCTTCCAACTTGGACAAGGGTTGGTTTGTCTGCCTCTTCTCCTTCTTGCCCTTCCTGACAACTATTTGTTGTTGTTGTTGTTGTTGTTGTTGTTTACTGTTTCTGTGATATCCTCTCACATGCTTATGGCCAGCCTTTTGTCGTCCTGCATTTTCTCCCTGGTTCTCTTGTTCACCTCTACCATTCTCCATGGTTTTAGCCATCACCTATATGCTCAATAGTCATTGGTCTTTTTTATTGCCAGTTTTGATTTCTGAGCACTAGAGCTTTATTTCTAAATAACATTGCAAAATGAAGTATACTCACCAAAGTTTATATATATATATATATACTATTTAAAATGTCAAGTAGTTTTATAAGAGATAATAAATAAATAAATAAATAAATATTTCTCTGCCCTACTGTCCTTAATTCACACTTTTCCAAAGGCAATCTCTTTCAACTCTTAGCTGTGTCTTTTAGTGTGTTCCTCAGTGTTTTTAAGAAACTCTATTTATTGGTATTAGTCTTTTTTACAGTATGGTATTTGAAAGGCGAGGACTGAACCAATCATCACTGCTAGCTTCCCACTTCCTTTTCAGCATCCTCCTCACCAAGGATTCTAACTTTTTGTTAGATCAGTATTTAATGTGTATGTGTTATGACCATGTAAACATTATTTACTATTGGACCATATTGGGTCCTGTGAATACATTTCTTATAAAAATGTTTCCTTGTCCTGGAATGGGGTCTCACTTCTTTGTGTTTTCTGATTACCTATCAGTAAGTCATTGTTTATCCCTCAAACTATCTGCCAGAAGTGTAAATCGGGTATGTTAAAATCTCCAGGCATTCTATCAATACTTTTAAAAAGAGATTTTATTTATTTATTTTTAGAGAGAGGGGAAGAGAGGGTAGGAGAGGGAGAAAGAGAGGGAGAGAAACATCAATGCGTGGCTGCCTCTCACACCCCCCCCACCGGGGACCTGGCCCGCAACCCCGGCATGTTGCCCCAGCTGGGAACCAGACCAGCAACCCTTTGGTTTGCAGGCCAGCACTCAGTCCACTGAGCCACACCAGCCAGGGCAATACTTTTTTTTAGCCACCTGCCCTCTTGCTCCAATTCCAATTTTGGCAGTTTTTAAAATCATTTTCCTGAGACTCCCTTTTATATTGTATCCTCTTTTTTTCTGGATCCCATGTTTCCCCCTTTTATTTTGTTGAAACACATTTTCCTGTGGCTTCCTGAAAAAATGTGCATGAGAGGTGATATTTTTGCTGTTTTGTATATTTGATACTTGCATATTTGTATATTTGATAATATCTTATTTCTGTCCCACACTTAAGCAATAATTTGTATACAGGTAAAATTCTAGGTTGGAAATAATTTTCTCTCAGTATTTTAAAGTTATTTCTCTATTTTTTTTTGACCTTTCAGGGTTGTTACTGGGAAGTCCCCTCATTTTGGTTTCTGTATATATATTAGTTATCTATTGTTGAATAACAAGTTATCACACGAGCTTAGAGGCTTCGAACGCACACCTGTCTCGCAGTTCCTGTGGGCCAGGAACCAGGTGTGACTTAGCTGGGCGCCTCTGGCTCACGGTCTTTCACGGGGCTGCAGTCATCTCGAGGTTCCACGCAGGGAGGGTGTTTCCAAACTCTGTTACGTTGCTAGACTTTGCGTCTTCACTAGCTATCCGCTAAGAACATGAGCTTTATGTGGGCTTCTCCCGAGGCTGCTCACCCTATGGCACCTCGCTCTTCTTAACATTTCTGAGAAAACGCTTGGGTTGTGAGTTTACGACTCCCAGAAAGCTTAAGACAGATCTCCCTGACCGGTGTTTGAGGCATTCATTTGGCAAAAAGAAAAGTTTCTAACACAGTGCCTGTTTTTCATTATTTGTTTCTTTTTCCACCCCTGGGTCCTGTCCCTGGTCCAAGGTGACTAGGGTTTCCTCCGCTCACCCACCTTCCCACCTTCATTCGTCTGTTGGTTCATTCATGAAATCATTCAAATATTTACTGAGACCCTACCTGAGTTCTAGCCTTGAGCCAGAACCCACCTTTGTATGCAGTGTGCCACCGTCAGGATCCACCTGTCACTGATGAGGCAGCCTCCACAGACCCGATTCAGGCCGAAGTGCAGGCTGACCTGCCAAGGCCAGCGCCCCTGGGCAGCGTCCTGTCCCCCCGAGATACGGCCTGAGTATGCAGGTTGTCCACACACTAGAGAAAGAAGAGAGAGGGAAATGTGGATCTGAGTGTCCCGTTGTCCCCATTTTCTTATCATCCCCCAAATCCCATTTCCAGGACCTGCGTCCTGCCTAGCTCCATACGCCATCCTGTTCCAGTGCCAAACCCAGCAGTTTGGGGCCCAAATGGAGACCACTCACCTGTCTGTAGATTATTCTTTTTGGAAGAAGAGCATGGGCAAGACCCTAAGACAGACACACCGTATCATTAGTATATAATAACACAATACCTAAATTCACTGAACAGAGAGGCTTTCCACGTATTTAAATTCCTCACATTGGTATTAGAGGGAAAATCTGTATAACTGTTTACCCATTAGTGGGAAATCTTGATAATTATTACATACCTACCTGCCTTCTGTTGAGTATACCTAGAATATAATTTAATTTTTACTTGGTGAATCAAGGTTGTCATAAGGAATATCAAGATGTTTGGTTGTCGATACAATGATGCCTTCAGATGCTGTCAAGGTTTACAAGCTGTTTACTTTCGTCCTGTTTTCTTTAACTGAATTGGCATTTTGCAGTATTTGTGTATCTTTCCTCTTTGCCACCTGTTACCTTTTGGCTGCTCTCACCCTGCCCTGCTTTTGAACCACCAGTGGCCAGAGAAATAAATGAACAAGCTTATGCCTGAAATCACTTAATAGTGTTTGCACCTCCAGTTCCCTCTGCTGGAAATTCTCTTTTCCTAGATCGTCTTAGCCAAATCACTCATCTGCTTCAAGCCTCTGCTCAGATGACTCCGTCTTAATGAAACCTTCCTTGCCTACCCTATTTAAAATTACAACACTCCTCTTGTCCCTGCACTCTGGAGCCCCTTTCCCATCATAGTGTTCATTACTTCCTAATGTGCTACATAATGTACATATTCAAATGTGCATTGATTATGAGCCCCATGAAGGCAGGGATCTCTGTTTTGTTTACTACTGTATGTGAGATACTTGGAAAGGTGACTGGCACATAGTATCCTCTCAGGATTTTCTCAGGGCACATTGTTATGAGTCAAATCACATGGGCAGAGTGCCATCTTCTTCTCAACAGTAACTTCTTGAGCCAAAAACAACCTCTCCTCCCCTCCCCAGCTCAACGTGGAGGCTCACCCAGCAAAACAGACAGCAGGAAGGCACAGCCAACAGGGCCCATGTCCCTGTATTCAGAATTAGCACTTCTGCGTCCTGGACCCAGGCTCCCAGGCAGAGGGCAGAAGAGGGGCAGGACCAGCTTCTCCGGGACGGCTTCACCTTCCTCTGCTTCACCCCTTTCTCCCCGTTGATGTTCATTCAGGACCGAGCCACCAGACTTGAAAGTGCAGCGGCAGGACCCAGGGGAGGAACTGGGGCTTGAGGTGCCCCCTGCTGTGTAGGAAGGGAGGGGGGCGGTGCCTGCTCCGTGGGGGAGGGGTGGGTGCAGTAGCGGCCTCCACGGGCAGGTTAGAGGGCTCAGCACACGAAGAAAGGGACCCTTTTCTCTAGCAAGGAAGTGGAAGATGGGCAGAATTCTTCAAAAACAAGAAGTGGAAAAGAGGAAATTAACCCAGCACCTGGCTAATTTTTCCTTATTGTTTTCATCTTCGTTATGGTATTAGCCGGAGGAGATACTGCACATCAGATTATCTGGAAAATAGACTTTAATGAAGAGATATTTGTGTGCAAGAAGTCTACTGGGTAGTGAATCAGGATCAACACCTCAAGGCGGGTTGGACGTAGGATTGGGCAGAAGGAAAGTCCAACTAATGCATTTGTAGCGGAGGCCTCAAGGCATCCCGCCAGTTTCTCTGAAGCTGGGGTGGCCTTCAAAGATGTCCTGAATTGAGGCAAGAAGGCTGGGCACTTGGACTTGTGCATGATTGGATGCAGGCCGCCTCCAAGGATGGGGCATTACCTTGGTGAGGAGGCTTCTGTAGGCAGTTCTTGGGATGGAATCTGGCTGTGAACTGCCCGCAGCCAACACTCCTGGTTGCTAGGAGAAGGAATGTTTCAGTCCGGAAGGAGGGTCTGGGTGGTGCCGCACCGCACTGGCCCCAGGGTTCTTCTCTGTGCCTTTTATGTTTTCTGTAACGATTTTTTGTAGGATAATTGGTCTGGTCTGGCCAGTAACCTTTAAAGCATATTATTAGCATATTATTGTTCTCGTGTAGATTAAAATATTGGGAGGTTTGAAAGATACACATGAATAATTAAAAAATAATAGAAGCCCAGAAAATGTAACTGTTTTGGTAAGGTTTTTTCAGTTACAAGCAACAGAGACTCACTTAACCCAGCTTAAACAAACAGAGGATTATTTTAAAGATATTGTTAAGGGCTGAGATGTGTCTCCCCGCAAATTCCTGTGTTGAAGTCCTAACCTCCAGTACCTCAGGATGTGACCACATTTGGACGTTGTCTTTAAAGAGGTGATTCAAGTAAAATAAGGTCATTAGGGTGGGCCTTAATCTGACATCAATGTTGTCCTTATAAGAAGAGGAAATTTGGATGTAAACTCACACGTGGGTAAAACTTGGCCATACACAAACTGAGGGATGCTGGGATACTCTTCCCTCATGTCCTTCAGGAGGAACTAGCCCTCTCAACACCCTGATCTCAGACCTCTCACCTCTGTAACTGTGGGAAAGTACATCTTGTTGATTAAGCAGCCCATCTGTGGTGCTTTGTGATGGCATCCCCTGCAAAGGAATACAGGTTTCTATGGAACAATAAGGAGAGCAGAGTTACAAGGACGTCTGGGGCTATCCTAGGACAGACAGACCTGATGACCCTGGTAGGAGACCAGAGCTGTAAGGACAAAGGCTCGTGTCCATGGACCAGTCGTCTTTGGAGGGAGCGCCCTTATGCATGAAGCAGGGGTGTGAGGGTGCAGAGAGGATGGTCAGCTACGCAGCAGAGACTGGTGGGGCAGGTGCTCTCTCAGTACAGTGAGACGATTACCTCTTTAAATACACCTTTTCAGACTTTAGCAGTGAACACTTGAAAAAAATACTTTTTCCATTTATTTTTGTTGTTGTTGACATTATTGCAGATGTCCTCCATTCCTCACCTTGCCTTTGCCTTCCTCCCGCCAGTCCCCGCCACACCACGTGCCTTAGCTGCATTGTTGTCTGGGTTTCTGGGCCATGCACATACGTTCTCCGGCTAATCTCTCCCAGGACTCCCCCCATGCTCCCCTCTGGGGTCTGTCAGTCTGTTCCATGTATCTGTGCCTCTGGTTTTATTTTGTTTGTCAGTATATTTTGTTCATTAGATTCCACATATTAGTGAAATCATGTGGCATTTGTCTTTCTCTGACTGGCTTATTTCGCTTAGTATATAGTATTCTCCAGGTCCATTTGTTACGAAGGGTAAGAGTTCCTTCCTTTTTACAGCCTCATAGTACTCTGTCATGTAAAGGTACCAGATATTTTTTTATCCTCTCATCTAAAATCTATAGGCCCAGCCCTGGCTGGCGTAGATCAGTGGATTGAGCACAGGCTGCAAACCAAAGCATTGCAGGTTCAATTCCCAATCAGGGTACTGCCTGGGTTGCAGGCCATGGCCCCCAGCAACCGCACATTGATGTTTCTCTCTCTCTCTCTCCCTCCCTTCCCTCTCTAAAAATAAATGAATAAAATCTTAAAAAAATAAAATAAAATCTATAGGCCCATTTACTTTTCACTGACTGCCACAACTATGAATTTTTACCTAATTTATAGTTTTCAGATATATTTGTCTTTATTTGTGTCCTGATGGGGTTGAGAATCTACTACTGCTATTACATTTATTTTAGTTCCTTCATAGATTTTCTTTAATGGTTCTTCTTTAAAGCAACCTATTTTGTGTGTGTGGTTTATACATTCATTCTGGTTATGCATCTGTCATTCACTGTGCTTTTTATCATATATAATTATTCTCTTAGTGCTTTTCACCTTAATTTTTTTCTGAAATTAATATTGTAACCTGTGATTTTTGTCCTCATTTAATTGAAGAAAAAGATTTATTTGTATCACAACCATCTATGTGGATATTCCTATTAACTAATAGTATTCACAGGTCATTTTATCTGTTTAGTCAACTTATTTAAGTATAGTTTTAAAAAGTCAAACCTCATTTTGAAATTTGTCTTCAAGTCATGTTTGGAGTAAAGGTAATCATTTTGCAAAGACAGAACAGATATTTCTATTGATTTATCAAAGGAAAAAAAATTTCACCATGAACTCTTTTCCCTCTGAGGGTCTGTGGTTCTAGACCTTTGGATGGACTTCTCTTCCCCTGGATAAATCTGGTCACTGATCAGTACTCTTTACATGTTAGTTGGATTGTTCATAGAATCTTTTCTTTTTCATTTTGTTTAACTGTTTTATACTCTTGGATTATACTCAATCCAAGAGTATACTCAAAAATATACTCTTGGATTTGGTTCCAATGTAGTTGGAAATAAACTTTATTGGAAGTAACTAAGACACCAGCTCCTTATTCTGAAATTGAAAGTAAAAGGAAAGAATTACCCTGGCTGGTGTAACTCAGTGGATTGAGTACGGGCTGCGAACCAAGTGTCACAGGTTCGATTCCCAGTCAGGGCACATGCCTGGGTTGCAGGCCATGACCCCCAGCAACCGCACATTGATGTTTCTCTCTCTCTCTCTCTATCTCCCTCCCTTCCCTCTCTAAAAATAAATAAATAAACAAATAAAATCTTAAAAATAAAAGAAAGTAAAAGGAAAGAATTAAATAGTTATCTTGCTCTTCCTCTCCAAACTATAGTTCAACGTAACAAAATGGTTTAGTTCGTGAGGGAAGAATTCCAGGTAATAAGTGTGGTTGGACAGATAAAACCTGAACATCATCTCCTGCAGCCCCTCAGCAGACTGATTCAGGGGACGTTTATCAGCAGTTGAAAGCAGACGAAAGGTGTTTGAACCCTGTGGTCAGTCTTAGCACCATGCAAAGCAGGATAAGGCAGACATTTGTCTCCTGAGGTGTCATGGTATAAAACAATATCCAGTGGAGTATTCTTGTCAAAAAAGGTGAAACCTGACTCTCTCGAGTTTCTCTTACATGCAGCAGATTCAGGGAGAAAGGAGTAGGTTAAATTACAACACAAGGAAGTTAACAGTCACATCCAGAATATGGGATATTTTATAAAACAACTGACTCGGCTTCTATAGTAAGTCAATGATGGGAGAGTGAAAAGGGAGGGACACTCCTCTAGATGAAAAGAAACTTAAGAGACAAGTGTGTGTGTCCCTCATTTGGATCATGATATAACAAACCAACTCTAACAGGCATTCTGATACCAACAGGGAAATTTAATAATGAGCTGGATATTAGACGGTATGAAGGAATTATTGTTCATCTTGATAGGTGTGATAATGGCTTTGAATTATGTAAGAAAATGTCCATTTTTAAAGAGAGTTGGAACCTATGGGTCCTTTCTAAGTCTAAGCTAACCTCTTCTGTCGTATCGGAGAGGTCTCCTGTGGTTTTCAGCTGCTACTCTGTCATTTTTATGGGGATGGCTGCATGACCTTCAGTAAGTAACCTTTCCCCCAAGCCCTGTGTTTTACTGTTGTAATAACATGAAGGAATTATAATTAGTTGTTGATCTCAAAGATTCTTTATAGATATAACATTAAATGATGCATGGCTTGTTTACCTATTTATCTTCATTTTTGTTACTGCCTCCATTATTCTTCTGCAGATATTTTCTTACTTTTGGTTTAGCAATCATGAGACTTGTTGGGTCTGCCGTTTTACTGCTCTCTTGCTTCTTCTAAGGTAAGGATGTGCCAAGGAGCTGGAAGCAAGAGAGCAGGTGCATAATGGCCCTTCCACTGACTTCCCTGAAGACAGCCCTGCCTTCTTCATCAGGCGCTGTCTCCAGGCTGACTTAGATTCTCTGTCCTCAGATCATCACCTTGTTATCATCACAGTTGTCCAGAAACACCTCTCTGTGCACAGTAACTGTCAGTTTGGGAAGTGGCAACATGGCATTGGTGGTTAAGGGCTTTCATATATGCCATGTGGCTCTGGCTAAGGTACAGCCTTTTCATCTTTGTACAGTGGGAATGATAATACCACACAGGATTTTCGTAAGAATCAAATGCAATCTCAGGCAAGTTCTCAGCTCGGACTTGGCTTAGTTAAACATGCAATAATAAACAGCAGCTGCTG